CCGAAATATTTTGGCGCTAAAAGTATTAAAAGAGAAGAACTAATACGTGACCATACTTCTATATATGCAAAAAAACTTTTTAACTTGTCGGACCAACTTGTTTTGATTTTTGATGGAACATATTTACATCACCAAAAGAGTCAAAATAACGATTATCAGAGAAAGTCGTATTCAGGTCAGAAAAAGAAACCCTTGCTCAAACCTTTTACTATTTGTACTACAGATGGATACGTTGTAGATCTCCCTGGTCCATTTTATGCCACTGAAAATGATGCAACCATCATGAAAAAAGTAATGGATGATCCAAATGGTTCGGGATGTTGTACCTTACTTAAAAAGCCTTGGCTTCAAGATTCTTATGCCTGCCTTAAAAGGAAAAAGATCCAATTTGACCACGGCTGAATCAAATGAATCACGCTATGTAACTAAATTGAGGTGGGTCGTAGAAGCCGTTCATGGAATTCTTGGCAAAAAAATATAAGCTTCTTCATCAACAATTAGATAATAAACTTATACCAAAAGCTGGTGCATATTGTAAAATAGCATGTTTTATTAACAATTTATTTGGTAAGCGTTTGAATAGTGATCAAAATGATGATGGGTTACAGGATATAATAATCGAAAGAATGTTAAAATCTAATCAAGGTGAGAATACTTTAGCATTAGAAGCTGAGACAGCTAGGTGGTCAAGACGTCCTACTACAACGACTAAGCTAACATCGCAAGAAATCATTAACTTTCCAGAGATGACTGAAAGGGACCTCAAAATTTTTTTTTTTTTTCGGGAACCTATCAGTTAGGTCAAGCCATTTGCTATTTGGCTGAGTTGATGGATGATAGTAATAACATTAAATTTGGAGTATATTACAATGAAACCAAATATTATTAAAGTACTGATAAGATTCAGGCATATAAGCAGTAAGACCTATAAATGCTACATTGAGTATAAACCTGATTCAATTGGATATGGTGGTATTTTGCGTCACGCATGTGACTGTGCAAATGGGTTACGCACTGTTGGTTCGTGTTCTCATATAGCCGCAGTTATATATTATCTCAGTAATACAAGATATAAATCGAGAATCATAAGACCAGCAAAAATTCTGTCAGAAATTTTTAAATCTGATGTTGAACCTGTCATAGATGAGAATAGTGATGAGGACTAAAATGTAATTGAATGTTTAAACTGTTAATTTAAATAACCTATTAAATAACCATTTCATAATAATAAATATTTTTGTAGCCAAATATTTTATATATGTCCTCGTTTATATCCAAATGAATTTATAAAACAATCTTTACAATGTTAAAAAAATATTTGAAAAATAAAAATATTCTTGTCCTATTGAGGTGATCCTAGAGATATATCACTTTATGCTATTAACGAGTCAAAAATAGAAATAATACTTGGAAACCGTTTTTTTCAAGTTTTTACTATTTAAGAAAAAAAAGATAAGTGGTATAACAAAATTGAACTGTGCGATCAAAAATACAAGGAAATTCGATCATGTAGCTACTACATTTTAAGGTTAAGAGCCAATAAAGTGGGAAAATATTATAAATACATGATTTATTCGCATTTTAAGAATTTGTAAGTTAAAAATGATTATTTTAACAATGATGATTCATAGCCCGTAAGAGAATAAATGGAAAAGCATACATCTAATTATCTGATTTTGAGTTAAGGTAAAAAAGTGCGAAATGGATAAAAAACGTGGTATTTTCGAATTTTATCCTTTTGAAAGAGTTAAATGGGGACTTATACAATAGAATTTGATAATGTGGAAAGAAAAAATGTTGAAAAATGTTCAATTAACAACTGAGTTTTAAGGTTATATGCAAATAAATGAGTAAAAAACGGTTTTTTTTTTATTTTTCCACGCTTTCCGCTCAGAATTTGAAAATTTTGCCTTGGTCATTCAAAATAACAAAAAAATACACAAAAAATTACTATTTAAAAGTTAGCCAAAAATTATTAACATAACCTAAAAAATTATTGAAAATTTCAATGATTTTTCCTAGGTACAATTTTCAATATAAAAATTTGAAAAAAATCAGGCTATTTTGTATTTAAAAGATACACATTCATAAATTTTTTCAGATTTTTAAAGCAAAATTGCGTCCAGAAAAAAATAAAGTCGAAAAAAGCTTCTTTTTTAGATTTAAGCGGTTCCGTGGCCACTGGAAAGCTGAAAATTTGTATGAAGTCATGTTTTTATACACTTTATCGAAAGCACAGATCGCGCTGCTGATCGGTGCGGGGGCATTTTTGACCATCTTATCCCGCTATAGCCTTTATCCCTTTGACAATGGACAATTGATAATATAAGTACGGTGATAAATAGCCGAAGAATATTTGTTAATAATATTTACTATTTGTCTTATTTATTACTAATTGTACATATAACTGTCATTTTACAGGGAAGTGATTACTGCACCTATATTACGTGTTCTCAAGCTTTTATAATTATTCATTATAGATAAATTTCATCATTTTTAATTAAACCTTAACAGCATCAAATTCCCAGAAATTTTTTTCGTACCATTCTTAAGAATACTCAAATATCTTCATCCTAAATATCTTAAAATGTCTTATTAACTACTGCAACATAATTATTTGTATTTCTACACAGTATTTCCATTGTGATATTAGGTAGATATTCAATTTTGTTTTTTAGTAACTTTTTTAAATTTGTTAACTGAACTAAATTTTTAAGTGTCAGTTAATTTGTAGTTATTAAATATATAACTTGTAAAACGAACGTTCTTTTATTTCATACCGTATATTCATTTTACCCTTTAAAATATTATTTATATGATTATCTCTTTCAGATACAACTTGTTATTTAATCTTTATGTATAATATCTCGTGTTTTTAGTGTTTACCTGGTATAAATAAATCATAGTTTATTAAAAATGTATTGCACTTTTTTAGATTATTATTAAATCTTCTGAATAACTAGTCATATTTTTATAGTAGTTTTAATATTATTGAGTCCGGCCCTGACCCCACCGATAGAACTATTTGCATAGTCCATTACATAGGCAAAAACCATACCATTATTCCAGAATGTTCAGAGATAGAAAGAATGGAACGATTCGAACTTTATTGATTGCTAGAACAGTCTGGAACGGTAAAAGGTTATAAATACGAGGTAATTTGGAGCAAAGATTCATTCAGTCATTAAGATTCAGTCATTAAGATTCAGTCAGTATTCATTAAGCATTCATTCAGTATTCAGTATTCATGAGTTGGAAGTCATGAAGATTGATTATTAGTTGGAAGAATTAATAAGTCAGTGAGTTATTATTAAATACAGTTGGAGATTAATTATTACTACAGTAATATAGTCACAGTATGAAGTTAATTCATTGAAGTAAGCAGTCAATAATACAACCAGAAGATCCAGTATATTTGAAAGTACATTATATGGAAATTGCAAGGATTTTAAATTATTATATCTATATGGTCCGAAAAAAAGAAAAGGTCAGCAACAACAACGTATATTCCTCCAAAAGACGTAAGGCTTGATGGTCACTCACACTGGCCATTGTACAAAGACACAAGACAGAGATGCAAGATGCCCAAGTGTACTTCTTTTTCGTATATTCAATGTTCAAAATGTGGACTATATCTTTGCCTGAACAAAAATAATAATTGTTTTCATAAATTCCATTCAACTTAGATATTTAGTTATTGTAACATATTATACTTATTAATAATGTAATAAAATTTGTTTTGTAAAAATTTCCGCTATGTATCATACATGATACAAGATTTTTCAAAAAATTAATGTTTTTTTGAAAGTTAGATTTTTTTTACTATTTTTAGGCATAAGTTTATACCCTAATGCAGTTAAAAATATTTTTTTTTATTACAATACAAAAAATCGCGCATTATAGGGTTAAAGTACTCACTGAACTTATCCCTTACTGTTTTGGCACTGAGTAATGTTTGTCCCTTGATCCCGCGCTATAGGTTGTGGACCATTTCGGGATCACATCGTTCACCCAACTGTATTTTGTTGTTGTCGACGTCCTCGCTGTCAAGGGTTCCTGGAGGACTGTAGTAATCTGGGGAATTCTTACGTAAAAAGTTATGCAGGGCAATACAATTCAAAACCACTTTCTCAATATTTTCCACCTTTAAATTTATGGGTGTACGAAAGATACGAAATCTGGATGCTAAAATTCCAAATGAATTCTCAATTACACGTCGCGCTCTTGATAAGCGGTAGTTGAAAATCCTTTTATTCCTATTAAGTGACTCTCGGTTGTACGGTTTGAGGAGATCCGGTCGCATTGCGAAAGCCTCATCACCCACAAACACTTATTCAAGTACCCGATCCGAATTCAAAAGTTTAGCTGATGCAGGAATTTTCAGTTCATTGCAGTTCAACTTCTCGTAAAATGTGGTGTGATTAATGACGCCACCATCAGAAACACGCCCATTTGTACCTACACTGCAGTAAATAAACTCACAATTTGCATTTGCAATGGCCATCAGAACTATGCTATGAGTTTTTTATAATTAAAATAGTAAGATCCACTGTTCTTGGGGATAACAATCTGAATATGTTTTCCATCCACTGCGCCCAAACAGTGGGGAAACTGCCATCTCTTTTCAAAGCCAGATGCGATGCCCAACCACTTCTTTGAGTTTTTTGGAAACTAAAAAAAGATCAATTATTACCTAAACGTACAGAGCGGCTACAAGTTATTATATCTTTTTTATTATTTTATTTTTGTAAGAAACCTTATCTCACACCTTAGGGTAGAGAGGTGTTTGATTATATATATATATATATATATATATATATATATATATATATATATATATATATATATATATGCTATATAGAATTTTGTATTTATTTTTCCTTTTTTGACTTTTGTTCCAGAGTGAAAACCGAGGAGGGACAAGCGATGAGGAGCATGATAACATTGCATCTACGTCAGGAAACAACAAAAGTAGCCTAATTGGAATCATTAAAACGTAGGCGAATTGCATCTCGGAATAAACAGCCAAGTTCAACGGATAAGGAAGTACTGGAAATTTTGTCAAAGGCTGGACAAAAATTGGATTCCATCACCACCAGCGATACGTTTGACACCTATAGAAAACACATCGCAGATCGTCTACGGCAAATGAAACCGGGCCAAGTAAAATTCGTCCAAAAACTTATTAGTGATGTACTATTCGAAGGAGAAATGGAATCTCTTAATGGAAATTGCAAGTTAAAAGTTACAAGACAGGGAGAAATACAGTCATTACCATCATTTGTGGGGGAATCCTACCCACCTCATTATGGACAAACAATCTCTCCTCAGTTTTTACAACCCCAACAACAAGTTGCGCACCAACCTCTAATGGAACAACTTGCACATCTACCTGGCATAAAAGGCGTTCCTCAGCCCGTACCAGTATTGACAGAAACAGAAAGGCCAGTTACCACTTCTTCGTTAGTCGATTACGTCACAACTTTTTCTGATTCAAGTTGCTAATTGAAAGTTTTCTTAGTAGTAACATTTTTTATGATTAAAGTAGTTTCTTATGTAATGTTAAGTAAAGTTTTTTTAAGTCTTTAAAGAGAAAAAAATCTTCGTCTTATTTTATTCTTTGTGGTATTAAAATTAAAGAAAAACATTTTTTTAAACCTCTACCTCTTTATTCGCTCCGTGCGTGACTGACGCGACACCTACCGCCTTCATGTGACCGTTTTCGACCTCCCAATTTTCAGGTTAAACATATGACATATGTTTGACATTATTAAATATATGCGAAATTGACAATTATTAATAATTAATTTTTTAATTATATTTTTTCAGTTTATGTACAAAATAAATGTAGTATTAAAAACTGGGTTTCTCAAAATTCATCATAATATGTCTTTTCAACCCCAAACGGAAAAGAAAGGGAAAAATCTAGTACTGGCAAATCAAGTTTTTCACGTGAAAGAGCATATAATCAAAAACAATAATAGTAAAAGTTATGATATAAACACTAAAGTCATCAGGCACTCTGCAATTAGCTTGAAGTGATATGAAATGTCATTTAAGGTAAATTATTTAAATTTTGTCCTATTTCAATTTAATAAAAATGAAATAATGTGATATTTACTTTTTCATATTAATAGCACGAATCCATTTTTTCTTTTCTCTAATTTTTATGTAATCTTTGGTAACCTATAATAACTACACTCCCTATTGTTGCTATTATTAGCACAATTTAATACGCAACATGTATTTGCACACATTTTTGATAAAATTTATGCTTAAAACGATTCCAATTTTGTCATTTTTTGCCGCTACGCACGCTGGCATCGTTTCAAGGTTCCCCATGGTCACGCACGGAGCGAATAACTAATAAACAAATAAATATTTAAAGGTCATTATAGTACAAACCTTATTCCTTACTATATTTAACAATAACAATTATTATGTATTTACTTTTAAGTAGTTCTGTTTTAAAACCAAGTATATTGCATTACAGTTTTCAGGAATTATTTGGCTTAACGCTGGTTTGGATATTATGGTTGTGAACTCCAAGTCCTTGAGGCTGCGTCCTGTTGCAAGATATCTGAGAGTTGCTGTGAGTCTTTCATGGGGTGTAATCGCTTTTCTCATGCAAGTGTCATGTTTCAATATGTATGGTGTTACCAACTCTAACAATTGACAATAGGCTGTTCACAAATAATTGCGCCAGTCATCTGGTTCGCCTCTCAGTTCTTTTAGTAACAAGACCTGGGAATACTGGCGTCTTTTCAGAAGCCATTCTCTTGACCATCTAGTCTTTTCCCTATTCATCCCCCTTTTCCGCAGTCGTAGTATCGTTATAGTTGAAAAAATAAAAGAAAGCAGCCGTGTTTCCTCCATAATAAAAAAAACTAAACAAACTTCACACAACTCAAGATTAGAAATGAGGTAGAAAACGGAAGGAAAAACGTAGTGTGTATACACTGGACACAACGTACGTTTTGTCGTACGTTTTATATGACCAACAAAACGTACAATAAGACGTAGCGTGAAAACGGGCCTTTATAGTTAAAAAATGTGCTTCCACAATTTTCTGGCGCTCGTATATTCACATGCTTCCCATCGATTGCTCCATAGCACCCCGGAAAGTTCCATCGATCTCGAAATCCTTGCTCAATTTTTGACCAGTCAGCAACAGTCTCAGGCACCTAAAACCAATAGTATAGATAAATTTTTCGGCCACACTAAAAACCTCGATTCCATTAAACCGACTAGTTACATATAAAGATATAGTAATCTGTATACAAATTATTAAATATGCAAATATGAAATTCATAAATACATACATATATATATATATATATATATATATATATATATATATATATATATATATATGTATATATATATATATATATATATATATATATATATATATATATATATATATATATGACAACAAATTATATTAACCTATAATTATCAATATTGTGTGCTTTCCAGATCCCCACAGCCTGCAGTACACCTAGAAGGACTGCTAGCGAGAAAGATCAGGAAGAACCATCTTCTACGGATAGTAACCTAGAAGAGGCAAATGAAATGGTGGATGATCCAGGAAACTCCAATCCAATACCAGAACCTCAGAACCAGTCTCAGAATATAAATCAGAATATAGGTAACTCCTCCGATTGTCATCTCCAAACAACTCCAGACTACCAACCTAAAAAGAAATTTAAGACACGGTCCAAAAGTCAACAAATCGCTTCTACTGCTCGTGAACTTAAGAACTTAAGTGAAACTATTTTACGCAGCGACCCTACAAATGATAGTGAGTGGGACATTTATGGAAAGTCTGTGGCAGCACAAATAAAATGTTTGTCTCCTGCTCAGGCACTCACTGCCCAAATGGAAATAAATAATATCCTGACAAAGTGCCGTTTTAATGATTTATATTGTAACTCTACAGGATCAGGCCGCGTTTTAACTGTGTCTACTATGTGTCATCCTTCAAACAGTTCTGGTTCCAGCCACGTCTACGTGGCATCTCCAGAGCTTGAAGAAGATACGTCTCAAAACATAATTATCACAGAAGAATCCTTGACATCCGAGGAAAATACATTTTCAGAAGTTTCTAACACTTTCGGTTACAAACAAGATGATTAGTGGACTTGTCATTTAATTTGTCAATTATAAATATTTGATTTACTTTGTTATTACTTTCAACTCTGCCTACTGACCTTATTCTCTTATAACACTACATTATAGTAATTATAGTAATAAAAGGAGTTTAGTAATATAATTATATTATAATATATTATAATATGGAAGTGGCAACACGGTAACCAAAACGTAAACAAATATTTTATTTGTCGTCTACAATAAACTCAATTTCTGAGAGTTGTAACGGGAAATAAATTATTGAAAATATCTAGTGAATAATATAAGACATTCAGTGAATAATATAAGACATTAAGTGAAGGAGAGTGCTAAGAAAAAACTTTAAAATCGGTGAAATAACATCCGAAAACACCAAGGCCCTATAAAAAGTAAGATTGCTGTAATTGATAAGCCTAATTAACATCAAGGCATAGAAACGAAACTCTGACCTTTGAAATTGCGACGTTGCCGTTGTGAGTAGACTTTCGGGGTAGACACAGAAAAATAATAACGGTTAATAAACATAAAATAAATACGGTAAACGCTGTCTTCTCTGAACTGTTGAGGTGGAAGACAGTGTTTGGCGCCGGAAAATGGAAAAATATATAAAAAATTTAGACAGTGATGATACACTTTCAGAAGGAGGGGCAAAAAGGAAGGACAGATATAAAGACAGCGAGGAAGAAGATAACATTTTCAGAAAGAGCAAGAAGTTCTCGAGAACGCCAACAAAAACTCCAGAGAAAAAAAATGAGGCAACAAAAATTGATCAATTACTAATAATGATGAGCCACCTTACCGATGATATTAAGGAAATAAAAAGAAATCAAAAAGAATGCAAGGAAACGATAGAAAAGCTCATAATGGAAAACAGAGAGCTGAGAAAAGAAAATTTGGAACTAAAACAAGAAAATATAGAGATCAAGGAGGAACTCAGAGAAATAACAAAAAACATGGAAGTTATGGAAAAACACCGACGAATAAATAACATAGTTATGAACGGTCTAAGGATAGACACATATGAGCAAGCAGAGTTAAAAGGAACAATCAATAATTTCATCAAACAACATATAGGGGTAGAGGTTAAAATAAGGAATGCTCACAAGTTAGGCGAAAAAACATGCCTAATTGAATTAGAAAACCAAGAAGAAAAAAGAAAAATAATGGAAAAAAAGCATAAGTTAAAAGAATTTAAAGAGTACAAAATATATATCAACGAAGATGCAACCATAAAAGAACGAGAAATACAGAAAACAATTAGAAACATTGCTCAAGAAGAAAGAAATAAAGGAAATGAAGTAAAAATTGGAGTAAAAAAAATATGGGTGAATAACAGCGAATGGAGGTGGAATGACAAAGAAGGCGCAATGTGTAAAAAAACATCAAAAAACTAGCAACTAAATGTACTACTGGAATAACGTTGACGAAACAAGCACAGAACAAGGTTAAGGAAAATACAAAAAAAGAAAAAAAGAGTACAGAAATGAAAACTGAACCAAAGCACAAGAAAACATTGCGAAAAGAGCACCTACTTTTAGGAACATGGAATGTAAGAGGCACATATGGAGAAGGCAAACTTAAACATTTAGCGAGAGAAATCGAAAAGTTCCATTTTGACATAGTAGCTTTACAGGAGACGAAACAGCTGGGAAATGATATATTTGAAATAGAGGATACAATGTTTTTCAACAGCGGTGGAAAGAATCGAACATTAGGCACAGGTTTTATGATAAGAAAAGAGCTAAAAGAAGCAATAGTAGAGTTTAAAACCAGTATCAGACCGCATATGTAGTATCAGGTTCAAGGGAAAATACCAAAAAATCACCCTCATAAATATTCACGCACCTTCAGAAGAAAAAGATAATGATGTTAAAGAATGGCACGCACCTTCAGAAGAAAAAGATAATGACGTTAAAGAATGTTTCTACAATGAATTAAACAGAACAATCGAAAATATACCCAGATATGAGTATTTAGACCGACAATAGGAAAATATAGTAAACACAATGAAACTAATGAGAACGGACAATTCCTGATAGATTTCGCAAGAGAAAAAAATATGATCATAATGAGCACATATTTCGAAAGAAAAGAAATACACAAGGAAACATGGATATCGCCAGATAGAAAGACTAAAAACCAAATAGACCACGTGCTCATCGAAAAAGAGGAACAGCAATGTATAAAGAAGATAAGAACATACAGAGGACCAGACGCTGACTCAGATCACTACATGGTGGGTATCAAAATTAAGCAACTGATACCAGAAAACAAAAACAAAATAAATAAAAAGAAATGTATACATAACCCAATTCGATTAGCAACAAAAAAAGAGCAAGAAATATACGAGGAAACAATGGAAAGAGAACTAAAAAAGATACAAACAGAAGAGCAAACTGAGAACAAATGGAAAAACATAAAGCAAATAATGAACAAAGCAGCAAAAGAATGTGATAAACAAGAGAATAAAAAGATGAAAGACTGGTTCGACATAGAGTGCCAAAAAGAAATAGAACTAAGAAAATCATTAAGGATGGAAATGATCACGAAAGAAACAATAGAGACAAAGAATAGATATAGGGAGCAAAGACAAAAAGTAAAGAGGGTGCTGAGAGAAAAGAAGAGAAAACACATAGAAACTAAGCTAAAAGAAATAGAAGAGAATTACAGAAATAAAAAAATAAAAAACCTGTATCAAGGTGCTAGAAATGAAAAAAAAGGTTTCCAACAAAAACCCATATTCGTTAAAAACAAAGCAGGAAATAATATAAGCGGGGAAGCAGAAATAGTCGAAAGATGGAAAGAGTATTTTGATGAATTACTAAATGGCAATAATAAGTCAAACCAAAGAGAATATATGCAAGCAGAAGCAAGAATTGAACACATAGACGACATAGAAGATAATTCACCCAGCAAAAAACAAATCGAGGAAATCATAAAAAATCTGAAAAACAACAAATCCCCTGGAAGTGATAACATAACAGCAGAGATGATGAAATATGGTGGAAAACTGCTAAATAATTGGATATGCAAGATCATAAAAGAGATATGGATAAAAGAACGAATACCAGAAGATTGGAAGGAAGCCATTATTTGTCCATTACACAAAAAAGGAGACAAAACAGAATGCAGTAATTACAGAGGAGTAGCGTTACTAAATACCATATATAAAATCCTATCAAAATCGATAAAAGATAAGCTGGAAAAAGAAGCTGAAAATATAATAGGCGAATACCAGTGTGGATTTAGACGAGGGAGAAGCACAACGGACCAAGTATTCATAATAAGAGAGTTACAAGCAGAAAGCTATGAACACAACTTACCAACGATAGCGCTATTCATCGACTTCCAGCAAGCATACGACAGAATAAAAAGGAAGAAATTAAAAGAGACCCTTGAGGAACTGGGAGTTAGCAGAAAGTTGCGTAACATGATACATCTTACTTTAGAGAATACAGAAAACAGAGTCAAAGTTAACAATCATGCATCGGACAAATTTATAGTAAAAGAAGGATTAAGGCAGGGCGATCCTTTGTCATCATTACTCTTCAATTTATGCCTAGAAAAAATAATGCGAGAAGCGAGAATTAATAGAGAAGGACTCCTATATCATAAAAGACACCAAGTTTTGGCATTTGCGGATGATATAGTGTTGCTGGCAAGAGGAAAAAAAGAGCTACAGGAGATAGTACAGAGAATAGTAAAAGCAGCAAAGAAAATGGGACTTTACATAAATGAAACTAAAACAAAATGTATGCAGTGGACAGATGATCAGTTTAGGGATGGACAAAAGTTTAAAGTAGAAGTAGAAGAAAGATTATCATACGAATTCGAAATAGTGGAAAGATTTACATACCTAGGTACAATAATATCACGTAAACCTAACATTAAAGAAGAAATACAAGCTAGAATAATGGCAGCCAATAGAAGTGTACATGCTCTTAGTGGAATGTTGAAAAGCAAGTTTTTATCAAGAAAGGCAAAAATACAGTTATACAAAACAACTATACAACCAATAGCAACATACTGCAGTGAGACGTGGACAATGACAAAAAATGAACAAAATCTACTGGAGATATGGGAAAGGAAAATCTTGAGGAAGATATATGGAGGAATAATAAGGGACGGTTTATGGATAAGAAGATCAAATGATGAATTAAAGAAATTATATAATCAACCTAACATAATAGGAGTCATAAAGGCACAGAGACTAAGATGGCGAGGTCACCTAGAAAGGATGCCAAACACGAGGACTCCAAAAAGGGTACTAAACTACAATATAACTTCAAAAAAGAGAAAAGGAAGGCCAAAAAATAGATGGAATCAGGAGGTAGAAAAAGATATGGAAGAAATTGGACTAGACGGCCAGAAAAGAAAAATGAATAACAAGAAGGAATGGAGAAAAGTCACATATCGAGCCAGAGAAGATCTCAGTACATAAAGGAAAGCGAAAATGAAGAAAGAACAAAATTCTTTAAGCCATGGGCCTCTAAGGCCTTTAGTGCTATTGTATATATATATATATATATATATATATATATATATATATATATATATATATATATATATATATATATATATATATATATATATATATATATAAGGATCACTCAGACGAGTGGTGGGTTCTTATATCGGTCTCTAGGTGGAGAAATAAAAGACAAAGTTGATAGGCTACTTTATCTATTTTGAAGACGTTTCGCTTTCGAGTTTTGAAAGCATCATCAGTTCATCTAAAACATTATTACAATATGAGAACCACACAATCATGGAAACGATGTTAATTGTTACCTTAAAAAGATATGTAGCAGTCAATGTTATTAACAAATATGTGAATGAAACTAAGTAAATGGACATAGTACGCTGATCTTGTATAAACAGTTAAGCAACTAACAACATATATGAACTTGTACAAAAATTAGCACAGCAATTGACCATGTGGTCCAAACTAAATTCAATGTTATTTATGTTAATAAGTGAGAAAGAACCAAGAAAATCATAAATAA